TGCCAACGACATTAAAAGAATTCAGTCGTCAGATTTTAAGCTAAAAGGCAAAATAGTCAGGTTGTTCTTAGGTGGAGATTTTCATTTTATCGATGATGTTCTGGGACACCAGGGTTCAGCTGCTAGCTTTCCTAGTTCTACAGACCTAGTTAAGTTGAATTCTCTAAGAAACCATGCTTCTATGCCTCACACACCTGCTAATTGTAACATCTTAAGGAGGACAATACAATCTCTGGAAAGTGCTTACAATGAGAACTTGTGTGAAGATAGACAAAGTGGAAACCTAAGAGCTCTAGGTAAGTTTCATAATTCAATTATTGCTCCTGTGATTTTCCCCATAATAACTTGAGATAATGTAGTGCCACCTGTTTTGCATATTATGTTAGGAGTTGTGTTAAAACTTTATAAGTTATTGTTGAAGGAGTGTAAGACTTTGGATAGTCAAGCTGTTTCGTCTTTGTCGCATAATGAGAATGTGAGAACGAATGAATTGTGGGCTGCTAAAAGCTTTGAATGTTCTAAAACAGCAGACTCTTTACGTTTATTAGGAAATCAATTTGTAGACGTTGCAAATCTACAGACTCGTTGGTTAGCTTTTGATAAAAATATTTCTGAATTGGAATGCATATCTCTAAACTCCTCCAATAAAAAAAAAACCTGTAAACAGCTAGAAAAGTGTGCTAGTATCAGGTGTTTAATTACTAAATATGATTGTAACATTGATTGGGTGCAGTGTGGTACATGCCAAAAATTGTTCCATCAATTTTGTGAAATTATTGGTGGTTCAGAAAAGAATGTATTGTGTGATATAGAGAAGTATGAGTGTTTAGTATGTCAGGGTGAAGATTTAGAATGTCTTGACCTTTATATTTCTGAAAAAATTTCTTTTATACGCGCACAGCGCGAAGTTTTAGACGTTGAGTATATTCGATTGCAGATAGAGTGTGAAGACCTAGAAAAAATATCTATAAGTAGCATGGGGACTCATGAGAGGTCTCTTTATAAGGCCCTTGAAGATATGAAAGTTGAGCGACAAGCTTACCATGGTAATGTATTTGTAGGTAATCATTGTAAAATAGTATTAAGAAACCACTATAAACTTTGTAGTGTTATTGATGATGAAGCAATTAAAAATAGATTTGTACGTGTGTTTAGTGTTTTTAATAACTTGCAACCTATTCTTTTTAAGCGAAAATTTCTTTCTGATGCCGAAATTTCTGAGCTTCATCAATATATAAATTTATTTGCTATTGAGTTTCATGCTTGCTTTCCAAAAGAAAGTATCACGCGAAAAATGCATGAACTCATTTTCAATGTGCCACTATTTGTAAAATTGCATAAAACTATTGGGTTGCTGAGTGAAAAGGAGGGAGAGTGTTTGCATAATAGCGTAAATAAGGAATTAAGGCAGTTGCATTCAGTTAGAAATCAGGAGCAAAAGCTGCATCTTGTTTTAAAACGCTTTGAATTGCACAGCAAAGCTGATAGGTCTAGGATCAAATGTATAGCTAACTATTTTAATTTGTGATCAGAGCAACTGGTATGTTTGTTGGATATGATTTTGTATGTTTATGTAGTTAATTCAAAAAACGTTTTATCCTTTGTTATGTAATATGTAACATTTTTTATATATATTAGATCTCCGTTCAATTTTTATCATCAAAAGTTAGTTCTACCTTCGCAGGACCTCTGCTCTACATACCTCCTCTCTGGTTAAAGAATGGAATATAAGTCTCATTTATCAAGTTGGTGTAAAAATTTAGCTTGATAAATTAATAAGTTGTAAACTTTATTATCACAATTGCCAAGTTGACCAAATGTTCTTCTGGTTTTAAATGAATTATGTATGAGTCTAGTATCATCTGGGTGTTCAAAGATAGTTTACTGCTTGAAGAACTTATCAATGGACCAACTAATTATAAAACAGTTTTTAATGAAAATAAAAACGAATTATCAAAAGATTTAAATCAGCTATTTGTGTATATTTAAACACTTTATTTTTTGTGAGAAGAGATTATTGATACAAGTACCATAAAATAATTCTACTACCAAAAGCTAGGTTAACTCAAAACCTTTAACTCAATTTTGGTCATGAATTATTTTATTAGAATTGATGAGTTTTTATTTATTAACTACCTAACACCATATTATTAGAACTTTATTTTGTAATGTAATGATTTTATCAGCGTTTCAAAATAATTTTCTAAATCAAGAACTTCTATATTAAAAAAAGTACTCATTTAACAACTAATCCCCCCTTATAACGACGTTTTTCATAATTTTGCGAAAAATGTGGTTTGCTTTCACAATTCGATTAAGGCTGTTTTAGTTAACCTTAAATAATTAAGTAAGGTTTTTCTGTTTTCATTATTGTCAAACAATAAGTGTATTTGATAATAACTATTGGGAATATATTTTTCTAATTTTTTTTTGATAAAAAGTAACATCAAATTACAAAAATTTAGCCAAATTCAATATATGTCATATTTATTCTAAACTAAAAGAAGTTTTTTTACTAATGCATTAAATGTCATAAGGTAAAACATTTTATTGATGTCTTAATTGTTTTTACAAAACAAAATTACCTCTTATACTTCAAAAGTTATAAAAGTTTTAGTAACACCCCTTTAGTCAATATTTTCAAAAATTAACAAGAAGCCGTTAAGCTCGGTTTGAAACAGCCGTGAACCGGTTTATTAAAGTCATCCTTGAAGGCCAACACTCTTCTTTATTTCCAGTAACTTCTGGGGTTCCCCAAGGTTCCATCCTGGGCCCTGTTTTGTTTCTTATCTACATAAACGATCTTCCTGACAACCTTTCATCTAAAGTAGCTCTTTTTGCTGATGACTCAACTTTATACTCCTGTCTTGACAAAAAGTCTTCTCTTTTCGATCGCCTAGAACAAGCAGCTGATCTTGAATCTGATCTCACTTCAGTAATAGATTGGGGTTCACAGTGGCTTGTGAATTTCAACTCTAAAAAAACCCAATTGCTTACTGCAAACAACTACCGTAATATGGTCAACATTCCTATATTAATGAATGGCAATCCTCTTACTGAGTCGTCCTCTTTACGTCTTCTTGGATTATCGCTTACTACTGACCTTTCATGGAAACCATATATACAATCGATTGCTAAATTAGCTTCTGCTAAGGTTGCTTCTCTTTATCGTGCTCGCCATTTCCTTACTTCTGATTCCATTCTCTACCTCTACAAATCTCTTATTCGTCCCTGTATGGAATACTGTTGTCATATTTGGGCTGGTTCTTCTAACGATTCACTTTCTCTTCTTGACAAGGTCCAAAAACGCATTGTAAATGTTGTTGGACCTGGACTATCTGCTAAGCTTGAACCTCTTTCCCATCGTCATAAAGTTGCATCTCTTTCTCTTTTCTACAAATACTATCATGGTCACTGCTCAAAGGAGTTATCATCTCTAGTTCCATCAACTAAAATTCATTCTCGTTTTACTCGTCATTCAGCTAAGTCTCATTCGTTTACTGTATCTGTCCCTGCATGCTCTAAAAACTTTTATTCATCTAGTTTTTTTCCCCGCACTTCAATCCTTTGGAACTCTCTCCCATCTTCATGTTTTCCTAACTCATACAACCTTCAATTTTTCAAGTCTTCTGTCAACCGTTTCCTTGCTCTATAACTCTGTTCTTTTTTTTCCTAGTAACTCCCAACATAATAGTGGTTGCTTGCAGCCTTGTTGGGAGTGAATGCAAATTATAAAAAAAAAAAAAAAAAAACACGATTTGAAAATGTATCTTTTGGAAATTACTTAGAGTTTTTGCTGTACCAGACCCTTGCGAATTCATATGATTATTTGCTGTACCAGACCCTTGCGAATTCATATGATTATTTGCTGTTCCAGACCCTTGCGAATTCATATGATTATTTGCTGTACCAGACCCTTGCGAATTCATATGATTATTTGCTGTACCAGACCCTTGCGAATTCATGTGATTTACACAATTTGAAAAAGTATCTTTTGGTTTGAAATGTTTTACAAACTTATTTCACCACTATTTATTCTTTCAATCGCGATACTTATTTGCTCCTCAGAGTTTTTTTTATAATGTTTTGTCGTTTTAAATTGGATTTGATTTTGTTAATTGATTTAAATTGATTTAGATTTGTACAGGAAATTGTTTTAAGTAAATTATAGTAAAGAATAAGAAATAATAATAATAGAAAAAGATAATTATTGATAAAGTTAAAAAGTTAATTAATTAATTAGATGTGAATAATAGCTAAGTTTGAAAAATTATTAGTGTTCAATTTTACCTGAAAATATGACTTTTCTGTAATTCTGTTATAACTTTTTTCAGGAAATAACAAAAAATTTCTGAAAAAAGGATTTTTAATCAGCGTAACTTTTACTACAAATTTAACTTTTTACTTTATTCTTATTTGGTTTTATTTTTTAGATTTTTACATCGGTATTATAATAAAATATAAAAAAATCAAACTTTAGAGTTTGATACAAAAATTATTAATTGAAATTTTCTTATTTTTATGTCATTAGATAGAGCACAAAATTCTCTATAATATAGAACTAAAATAATTTTTTTAATATTTAAGTTTAAAACCAAATTTAATCAAAATTAAAAACATTTTCATAAATGTTCAGTTTTCCCCGCTGTTCAATTTTACCCTTTTTTACTTGTTGATTTTTTTTGTTGAAAGCTGCACTTCATTGCAATTTCTTCAAGGTTTTTAAATGCAATGCAATGGTATAATAAAGAAAAAGCTTAGTATAACTGATTGTTTTTTTTTCAATAAATAAAAATCAGAATAAAAAAGTTTGTTAAGGAAAATATATGGAGAATGAAAATTGCATTGAATAAACAGGAAATAAGTGAATATGAATGCTCACAATTAGTGAAACAACAACAGTCATCTGTATTATAAGTATTATAAAAATATAAGTTATATAAAAAAAAATATTTGAAACTTTTAATAAATATTTTTTGTTGATAATTTTATTACTTTAGAGATAATATTGATAATGAACTTATGATAAAGTGCTTGCTAATAGAGTTTCAAAGCATGTGTCGTATGTATGATGTGAAAAAGATAAAATCTGTATACTTTGGTGGAGGTTTTAAATGATTTCTTTTATTTAAATTTAAAAAATTATTAAGCCTTTATAATTTGTTTTTTTTTTTTCTTTTAAAACTTTTGCAATTATAATTCTGATAATTCTTTAGTCTTAATAATTCTTTTATAATTATTTATTACTAAATAATTTTAGTTTTGATGTTAATTTGTAATTTTTAAAAAAATACTTGAAATTAAAATGTTCGTGTTTTTGGATAGAATTTTTTAACTTTTTTTATGTGAAATTTAACATCAGGAACACCAAGTTTAGCTCCACCAAAGTTGATAAACAGACTTCTAGAGGAAGTATGCAAATACACTAATGTTAACTGTGAGATATCAATGGAAGTGAATCCCACATCTACAGAAAAGAAAAAGTTGAGGTGAATTTTTTATTAAATGCCAAATTTCTTTTCTAATTATTTCTTGGTTTTAAAATAATTTTATAATTTTATAGTGACTTTAAATCAGCTGGCATAAGTCGTGTGTCGATTGGAGTTCAGGTTTTTTATGATTTATTATTTTATACTTTCTTTATATTTTATGTTTTGTGTAATACACAAAATTTACAAGAAATTTATTTTTAATAAATTCCAAACTTCTTATACCGTATGAAATAACAATCTTTAAGAATTGTTTGACTGTATGAAAAAACAATCTTTAAGAATTGTTTTGCTTTTCTTCATAAATATTTCAATATACTGTAAACATTACAATAATAAAATTATTCATAAATGCTATCTTTTTACAATTAAGTTACAATAATAAAATACCAATAAATTACAATAATAACTACAATAATAAATAATTTAATAATTTACAATAATTACAATAATTTAAATAATAAATAATTTAATGCTACTTATAGTTTTAGTAGTCTTAGAAAAGTGTCTCCATCAAGTGTCTCCATCAAGTGTGCTGTAGTCTCCATCAAGTGTGCTGTAAGCATCCTTAGTGTGCTGTAATAACTCTGAGTTATCCATCAAGTTCTAAAATCAAGAACCAGCAATTTGATTTTGATTCCAAAAGATTGAGCATTTTCTTCAAGCTCTTTGAACAATTTAAGATTTAATTTTTTTTACAATAGCTTGCACATCTTCGAGAATTTTAGTACTAGACAATGCAGGATCATACTCAAGTGCTTCCTCGTCTTCGTTTTCTTCATCAGTTTTGCGTCACTATTATTTTTGTCTTTATCTTTGTTTGTTGCTAAGCATCCTTAGTGTGCTGTAAGCATCCTTAGTGTGCTGTAATAACTCTGAGATATGCATGCTAACATGTCACTCTCTGCATCTGGTTCTATTTTGCTCTGGTCTGATGATGAATCCTCATTTGCTCTGATTGATATCTGTGATTGACTTTTTATGTAATACTATTCTTTTTTTTTTTTACTATTCGTTTTGCACAAAAGTGGGTTCCTCGATCATAGCGAATGTAGTAAAGTCATTGTGAGAGATGGTCACATTTAGTGCAAGTACTTACCCCATCCATAGTTTGATCATTTCAATCTTGGTCAGGATCAATGGAAAAGGTCATTAATTTATGATTTTGCAACCTCTACAACGCTTTGGCATCACGTTCTTTGCCCATTTCGATCATACCAAGGTTCTGATTGTAATCCAAAAATGTATGAATTCTCATAACTTTAATTTGTTAAAATGTTGCAATAAGTCAATATTAGTAAGTAACTATCTTATAGGAAAACTTTCCTCCATTGATTTTTATCAGCTTTGTTTTCTTCATCACCTTTTCTTTCACATATGCTGCTGAACTATAAAATTTTTCATGTTTTCAGGAGCCTCAACCTTCTTGTAACTTTCAACCTTCTTGTAACTTTCAATCTTCTTGTAACTTTCAATCAGCTTTTGCAGCAATGGATTTGGTTGAAAGATCTGATGTTAGCTAAGCAATGATTTCATCACTCAATGTAAAGTTTTTACTTTAAAAAACAAGTCAATCATTTTAGGGCAAGATTGAAGTTGCGTGGAATTCCAATTTATCAGAAGAAGCAGAAGGAACATGGCAATATTGATGAAACTTTTATTAATGAGAATAAATTTGTTTTGTATTGTAGTCTGTTTGTTTGATGAATTTATCATTTGCACTCTCAGGACACAAGGTGCATTCAATGTGAAACTTGTCATTTTTCTAAACTAGACAATAGTTTTACCATTTTGAAAAAGTTCCTCTTAATTTTTTCCATTTCAATATTTGAATCTCTTTAATTTTAAAAATTATATATGTTGCAATTTCTATGTTAAATGATGTAAATTAAATTAATTATACTTAACTTTTTAGTTTATTGTTTATAAATTATCTATTACATTTATTGTTACTTTATTTTTAAACTCTTTTATGTGACAAATCACACTATCAATGAGTTATAAATGAGCAAAAATGTTGCATTGCGATTGCAAAATGAATGATTTTTAAAAATATCAAAATCTAGATTACTGAAAAATATTAAAAGCCTTTAAAATTGACCCTTTTTACTTTTGAAAAATAGATTCCCGTGAGACATTTTATGCTGATGACTCAAAAATGTTGCAATTCTTTTTTTTCCTTTTTTTTTTGCAATCTTTTTCTTGGAGATTCCAAGATAAAAAAATGGTCAAGATTTCTGAGACAAGCGAGATCTGAAAGTATAGAAATTTCATCTTCAATAAATTTTTAAATGGATGTTTTTTGTAATAATAAATTACAAATTGATAAAACTTGATATCTATAAATTTCATTTATATAATCATGCTTTAGAAATAATGTATCTATATGAAATGTATTCACCAAAGATTTTTTGTGTATATGAATAATACACTATCAAATTTATTCTACAAACCTTATATTAATACGGAAGATTTAAAAATTGTTTTAATGTAAAAATTATTACATTAAAACAATTATTACATTAAAACAGTTATTATTTTGATTTGAAAGTCAAACTTAGTGAATTATTAAAATTAAATTGGGATGAAGATAGTGATTATAGTTTCAATCTCAAGTCAATAGCTTAATTTGGGTATTAAAAATACTGTGAAGAAATCTCCACATCCTTCATATGAGATCATCAGATTTTTTAAACTTTGTTTAAAAATTGTCAAAAATTATGAATTCATTCAAATATGCCACATTCTATAATATACAATCAATCATATATTTCTGAATAAGGTCTTACAATCGAAGATATTTCTGAATAAGGTCTTACAATCGAAGATATTTCTGAATAAGGTCTTACAATCGAAGATATTTCTGAATAAGGTCTTACAATCGAAGATATTTCTGAATAAGGTCTTACAATCGAAGATATTTCTGAATAAGGTCTTACAATCGAAGATATTTCTGAATAAGGTCTTACAATCGAAGATATTTCTGAATCAGGTCTTACAATCGAAGATATTTCTGAATAAGGTCTTACAATCGAAGATATTTCTGAATAAGGTCTTACAATCGAAGATATTTCTGAATCAGGTCTTACAATCGAAGATATTTCTGAATCAGGTCTTACAATCGAAGATATTTCTGAATAAGGTCTTACAATCGAAGATATTTCTGAATAAGGTCTTACAATCGAAGATATTTCTGAATCAGGTCTTACAATCGAAGATATTTCTGAATAAGGTCTTACAATCGAAGATATTTCTGAATAAGGTCTTACAATCGAAGATATTTCTGAATAAGGTCTTACAATCGAAGATATTTCTGAATAAGGTCTTACAATCGAAGATATTTCTGAATAAGGTCTTACAATCGAAGATATTTCTGAATAAGGTCTTACAATCGAAGATATTTCTGAATAAGGTCTTACAATCGAAGATATTTCTGAATAAGGTCTTACAATCGAAGATATTTCTGAATCAGGTCTTACAATCGAAGATATTTCTGAATAAGGTCTTACAATCGAAGATATTTCTGAATAAGGTCTTACAATCGAAGATATTTCTGAATAAGGTCTTACAATCGAAGATATTTCTGAATAAGGTCTTACAATCGAAGATATTTCTGAATAAGGTCTTACAATCGAAGATATTTCTGAATAAGGTCTTACAATCGAAGATATTTCTGAATCAGGTCTTACAATCGAAGATATTTCTGAATAAGGTCTTACAATCGAAGATATTTCTGAATCAGGTCTTACAATCGAAGATATTTCTGAATAAGGTCTTACAATCGAAGATATTTCTGAATAAGGTCTTACAATCGAAGATATTTCTGAATCAGGTCTTACAATCGAAGATATTTCTGAATAAGGTCTTACAATCGAAGATATTTCTGAATAAGGTCTTACAATCGAAGATATTTCTGAATAAGGTCTTACAATCGAAGATATTTCTGAATAAGGTCTTACAATCGAAGATATTTCTGAATAAGGTCTTACAATCGAAGATATTTCTGAATAAGGTCTTACAATCGAAGATATTTCTGAATAAGGTCTTACAATCGAAGATATTTCTGAATAAGGTCTTACAATCGAAGATATTTCTGAATCAGGTCTTACAATCGAAGATATTTCTGAATAAGGTCTTACAATCGAAGATATTTCTGAATAAGGTCTTACAATCGAAGATATTTCTGAATCAGGTCTTACAATCGAAGATATTTCTGAATCAGGTCTTACAATCGAAGATATTTCTGAATAAGGTCTTACAATCGAAGATATTTCTGAATAAGGTCTTACAATCGAAGATATTTCTGAATCAGGTCTTACAATCGAAGATATTTCTGAATAAGGTCTTACAATCGAAGATATTTCTGAATAAGGTCTTACAATCGAAGATATTTCTGAATAAGGTCTTACAATCGAAGATATTTCTGAATAAGGTCTTACAATCGAAGATATTTCTGAATAAGGTCTTACAATCGAAGATATTTCTGAATAAGGTCTTACAATCGAAGATATTTCTGAATAAGGTCTTACAATCGAAGATATTTCTGAATAAGGTCTTACAATCGAAGATATTTCTGAATCAGGTCTTACAATCGAAGATATTTCTGAATAAGGTCTTACAATCGAAGATATTTCTGAATAAGGTCTTACAATCGAAGATATTTCTGAATCAGGTCTTACAATCAAAGATATTTCTGAATAAGGTCTTACAATCGAAGATATTTCAAAATAGTTTGAAATTTGTATAAAGTAAAAATCTGATAAAAATGATATCAAATAATATTAATGATAAAAATCAAATTATTCATAATAATAACAACAATAAAAATAATAATGATAATAATGGAAAATTATAATATAAAATAATTATAATGGAAAATTATCAACAAAAATAAATTTTAATAAAAATAAATCAATCATAGATTTCAAAACAAAGATTAAATATCGTATACATAGACAGAAAAATTTACAAACAGTTAAAAAACTGACATAAAGTAATAACCTACCATGAGATAAAAAACAGTTATTGTAAAGAGAATGACAATGGCTCATTACTATATTTATAACATCTATTTTGATAATGGTATATCAATAATTACAAACTAATTAAATGAGTATATCTTAAAACAAATAACAAATAATAATAATACCAAATGCAAACTAAAGACAAAAAACAAATACTATAACAAAGTATAAACTTAAAAAAAAAAAAGATTAAGTTACATAATTATTAGAAAAATAAAATGAAGTTACAAATTATGCCAATAATTACTAAAATGAAAATGAAAATAAAAATAAAATAATTACTAAAATGAAAATAAAAATAAAATAATTACTAAAATGAAAATGAAAATAAAATAATTACTAAAATGAAAATGAAAATAAAAATAAAATAATTACTAAAATGAAAATGAAAATAAAAATAAAATAATTACTAAAATGAAAATGAAAATAAAAATAAAATAATTACTAAAATGAAAATAAAAATAAAATAATTACTAAAATGAAAATAAAAATAAAATAATTACTAAAATGAAAATGAAAATAAAATAATTACTAAAATGAAAATAAAAATAAAATAATTACTAAAATGAAAATAAAAATAAAATAATTACTAAAATGAAAATGAAAATAAAATAATTACTAAAATGAAAATGAAAATAAAATAATTACTAAAATGAAAATGAAAATAAAATAATTACTAAAATGAAAATGAAAATAAAAATAAAATAATTACTAAAATGAAAATGAAAATAAAAATAAAATAATTACTAAAATGAAAATGAAAATAAAAATAAAACAGATAAAAACAAAAAAAAAAGTTAAAAAAAAATTTTGAAAAAAATAGTTATAAATAAAAAACAAATATAAGAAATAAAAATTACAGAGGACAGGTGCAAAAATGCATTGTAAATGTAGTTAGATCTGCTCTTGCAGCCAACCTTTAACCATTGTCACATTGTCATAATGTTGCTTCTCTTTTCTATAAATACTATAATGGGCACTGCTCTCTTTCTTGTGTTACTTGTCAATCAATTAAATCTCATTAATTCTTATTTGTCTATTTTTTATACTCGAACATCAGCTCTTTTGAATTCGCTCCCTTTATCTTGTTTTCCTAATTCATATAATTTGCAATGCTTTAAGTTGTCTGTTAATTGTTATCTTGATTTATAAACTTCATCTTTTCTTTCCAGTAACCTCCAACTCTAATAGTGGTTTCTTTTTTAAGCTTATATTTATTTTATTCTCTATTAGAACTAAAAGCATAAAATAGTTACAAAAGTTACAAAAATAATTTAAAATTTTTAAATATTGTCTTATTTAAATATTGTTCTTTAGTTATCCTTCTTTTAAGAATGTTTTTTAAAAATTGTTATCATTATTTTTTGTGATATTCTTTTTATTTTTTCATTTTCTTTTTGTTTTCCGATCTTTTCGTTTATTTTTTTGCTTTTCTTATCTTATCTTTCCTTATTTTTTGACTTATATAATTTTTTTGTTTGTTTGTTTGTTCTTTTTCATTTTCTTATTTAGTTGTTTTTTCTTTTTTTTTTTCTCAAGTTTTTTTAAGAATACTATTTCCTAATCAATTAACTCATATTGTGATGCTTGTTATTTCTAATAGTAATAATAATAATAATAATAATAATAATAATAATAATAATAATAATAATAATAATAATAATAATAATAATAATAATAATAATAATAATAATAACAATAATAATAATAATAATAATAATAATAATAATAATAATAATAATAATAACAATAACAATAACAATAACAATAACAATAACAATAATAATAATAATAATAATTATAATAGTCTTTAGCTAAGTGTTATAGCAACTTTGGTTATTAGATATTTAATTTTATTTAATGTCAACTAATTTTTATTCTAAAATTATTTTTATTATGAATATAAAATTATTTTTTTGAATCAATGTTTTTTTAAGGCTCTCAATGATAGGGATTTAAAGATTTTGGGTAGAGAACACAATGTGCAAGAAGCATTGAAGTATGAACTTCGATTAAATAAAAGATTATATTTTTTGATGACATATATTGTTATAAACTGATTTTTTTTTTTTTAATAATTTTAAAATGTTTTGTACATGCTATATCTTTTTAATATTTTGTAGCTGTTTTGGACATGCGTATGATATTTTCAATGCCAATGTTTCAATTGATTTAATGTTTGGGAGAACAAATCAAACTCTTGATGATTGGATATTTGAGCTAACGCAGGTTTTCTCATGTTATTTTAAAACACTGTTAATTTGCTAAATCTTTTCAGGGTCTGACAACACATTAATAATATGGTATTAGTATAAATTTTATTATATAACACATTATTAAAATAATATTATTATCACAAATGATGTAAATCTGGTAAATCTACCAGAAAATTTAAATCTAAAAGGTAAATTTTCCTTTAAAAAAAAAGATTTTTTTTGCTGACAATAAATTTAAATAAAGTTTGTTTTGCTTTTTAAACATTTTTACTTCCAACAAGGCTGCAAGAAACCATTATTAGAGTTAGAGTTAAAGATTATAAATTATATGAATCAGGAAACAAGATAAAGGGAGTGAATACCAAAGAACTGATATTCAAGTGAATTCCAAAGAACTGATAAAAGAACTGATAAAAAATATTAAGAACAAGTTAACTTAACTTCTGTCTAATGCACAATAAAACCTATTGGTTATTACCATTAACAAATTGGAAGTAGAATAAAAAGATCGAAATCCAATAATCTATGATAAAAGTTATTTGATTTAAGATGAGAGATTAAGGGTTTTTTAATTAAAGATTCAAAAACCTTGTTTAAGGTAAAAAGAAGTCTAATGGAACTGTTGTTATGGAGTCAGATTACTCTCCAGAAATACAAGACTATAACAGGTATGTTGTTTGGACCACAAGCTGTAGAAGAGTCTTAGCAAGAAATCACTTTAGATACAGAAGCTAAAGTGATACAAATTTCAAGCAATGGATCAACCTGTTTGTCAGCTATAACAAGTAAGGTGTGATTAGTGGAATCAAGAGTTAAAAAGATTTTAGCAAACAAAGGTAATGAAATCTGAACGATTCAAGAGAGAAGCAATAACATATTTGCTCTTATTATAGACGCTGTTAAAGATTCTCCAGAAATCTCTAAAAGTGTCAGGAGCCTTTAACTTTTAAGATTAAATATGTGATTTCATGAGGATAGCTTGCTTTGGCATTAGATGAAACCTTTTTTCAATGGTTTCTAGCAATAGTAAACAGATATCTGTTTTCTGAGGATTTGTTTTGGTGATAGATTTTTTTTTTTTTTTTTTGTTCTTTAATTTTTTGATTTAATAAATATTTGTCAACATTGTATATATATATAAATATTTTTTAAAATATTTGTATATATATAATATTTTTTATTTAAGTATTTTTATTATATTTATTTTTGTTATAAGTATATATATATAAATATTTTTTATTCGTTAACATTGTATATATAACGAATATTTATTAAGTCACTTTGTGATTTAATAAATATTTGTTAACATTGTATATATGTATATACATGATCGTTATTAAGAAATAAAAGAATGCAGGAACTCATAGAAGACCGTAAGGTCTTGTCGTCGAGAACTGCTAAAATATTTACGTGTTAATATTTCGTATTAATAAAATATTCTCAAAATAAATAAACTTTCAACAGGAATATATACTTAACATACTTGAAGATAACAAATAATTAAGAATTAGGAATTGAAAACATTAACAAATTTAAAAAAAAAAAGAAAATAGATATGGAAGTTATGGTTACGATTGGAAATTGCAGCAGCACAACGACAAGACAACCATACAGAAAAGTGAGGCCCAACTTGGAATCATTAAGAGGAAGTAAAAGATTCTACGCCAGCCTGAATCCAAGAAGCTACATAGAAGACAAAAGGTTTCTACCAAGTGCCATCACAAAAAAAATCATGGAAAGAATCCCAGTCAGCTTTAAAGTAGTTGTAAGAGTTACAATGATAGGGATTCTAATGACGAAGAAGAATGAGATAATAGTTTTAGAGAGATTCAACCATGATCAGAAACACCTAAAGGTAAATATAGAGAAACTGAGCTCTGACTAGGATCAGAAACAAAACATAAGTCAAGTAGAGTAGGTAAATGATTTAGATTGTCTGAAAAGCAAGTTGGAAAGTTGACTATTTGTGTGAGAGATTGAGAAAGGCAAAAGTTGTGGGCCTTAACAACTTCAGAGTCACTAACACAAGAACCAAGCCATTCAGTTTGATGTGCATTAAAGTCACCAACAACTACCATATTAGCTGAAGGATCAAGAGAAAGAGCTTGGTCAATTTGATCAGAAATAACATTGAAAAAGAGTGCAGTCATAAGATGAAGGAGAGCAATATAGAACAAAGAGAAAGGTTGTAGAGTGAAATGGTGCTAAACAAAAGCACATAAAAGAATAGTATGTGGAATCAAACCTAGTTTCCAGACAAATGAGCAAATTCTTACAAGTGTAAATTGCCCAGGCCAATCATGTGACTATTGGAGTCTTTACGAATTAAAGGAAGAAAACCACCAACACTAAGATCACAACACAAGACTCAAATTAGTCTCACAAGAGCAAGTAGGTCTGGTGAACATTGCAAGAGATAAGACTGAAAAGAAGAAAAGTTACAGCATATTAATTATTGCGCTTATCATATTAGTTTCCCACTAGATCATGTTTTTATCTTATGTTATCAAATATTTATCTCAACATAATTATTTATTTTTATTAATTATTATTTTAAGTTTAATTATTTGCTAAAAATCTTATAACATTCAAATTTATTTTAATAGCATTCATTAAATTTATTTAAATAACATTCATTAAATTTATTTAAATAGTGGTTTGTGCAAAGGGTACAAATACATTTATAATTTGTTTAAACTAATTTTATCATAAACTATTTTATTTTCATAACAAGGCCGCTGCGCTGAGAAAGGAGTTGAGCGCGGTACTACCAAAGATGTGGTGGGGATCGAACTCTGAACCACTCACTTATGAAGCGAGCGCTCTACCACTACACCACTACTGCGTTTAACTTTTTTTTTTTTTTTTATTTATTAAACTTGTATTTAATTTTTAATTTAATTTATTTAACTTGTAATGACTCTCTGTCACAGATTAATAATTGGATAAAATTGGTATTAAAAAAGCCTAATATATATAATATAATATATAATAGATATAAATTTATTTAATTTGCTCGATACATTTTATCAGAGTGGATATTAGTGTCTGCTGTGTAGATTGCTTCTTAGCAGCAGGTTAGGAATGGGTTCCAATGAGCGGGATAAATAGAAGCAACCTTAGAAGATGCTAATTGAGCAATCAAAATCAAGCTTTTTATTTTGCTAAATAGAAAAATGTGTTTTTATTACTCTCTACATAATTTTTACTGTTTTACTGTGTTTTAATGTTTGACTGTTTATATTCTATTTACTATTTAAGATTTTATTTATATTTATTTATATTATTTACTGGAATAAATTTTTGATTAATGTTTTTATTCAAAAAAAAAAAAATCTTTTTGATTTTGAACTGGTTTTTAAAATTACATATTTTACATTAGTTATTTAAATTACATATTTTATATTATAGATATTAGCATTAAAAAGTAAACATTTGTCACTTTATCAATTGACAATGAAACAAGGTACACCAATGGAAAAGCAGTATAAAAAGGGACAATTGGTATGAATGGTATTTTATAGCTTGAGTTTTTTTGGAGTATCAGAGTTATTTGTAATGTTAAATTCTATCATATATAAAGTGATAGATGAGTCTATTGTCTGTTAGAGGTTAGTTTTGAAATATCAGAGGAGTTTGTTGTCTGTTAAAAATTAGTTATGAACTGTCAGAGAAGTCTGTTATTGTACTTTTAGTGTTATAATGAACCATAACCATAAAACCATAAAATTGAATGTGCCTCAGATTTATTTTGAAATTTAAAAAATTTTTGTATTGCCATATTTTATTTTAGTAAACACCACATTGTTTTTTAGAAACTGCCTACTTGTGACACCTTAGCTGATATGTATGAAATAGCTGTAAAGGTTTGTGTGTATATATGTATGTATGTATGTATATATATATATATATATATATATATATATATATATATATATATATATATATATATATATATATATATATATATATATATATATATATATATATATATATATAGTAAGCAAAAAAATAAATGGCACAAGCAATTTTTTTTAAGTTTATTCATTTTAACTTATCTGTTTACTCATGTTTTTTAAAAAACTGTAAAAAGTTCAAATGTACATCAAAGAGTACTACTGAAGATTTTTATATGCAATTGTGGATGATTTCACCAAAGGATTATTGTTTTTAAAAAATAAAAGGTACATTAAAAATACACATGTGTTATATTGGAAGCAAAATAATTACTGGCACAAAAACTTTATTTAGTATTTTTTGAAATTTTTGTGGAAAAAAATAAAATTTTGGTAAATTTAAGTCTAAAATTATATTTACATATGAAACACATAAGATATAAGATTACATGTAACACATAAAATATATATGTACCCACGAGTTTTGATTAATTTATAGCAAGATGCACATTGTAAAACAACATTGGACAATTTCTCAAAGAAACTTAGTTGTGGATTTGGTAAATAATGGTAAGACCTGCAGAGAAAATAATAAGCAGACTGGAATCCCCTTTCGAACACTTGGCAACATTATAAAAAAGTATAATTTGAATGGAACTACAACTAATATAGCAGGAAGAGACCGTAAAAGAAAAACATCTACTGCCATTGATAGAAACATTATCTTATAAGTCAAAGAAAACAGATTTGAAGCTGCTCAAAATATTGCAGGCAAAGTTAAAAACGACCACAAAATCATGATTTCAGCTTAAACCAGAAATAGAATCCGAGAACAAGGATTTCATGGGAGAGTATGTCGCAAAAAACCCTGACTCTGAGACATATGAAACGAAGATTATTAATTAAAAAAAAGTATGTTGACAAGACTATTGAGTACTGGAAGTAAGTAATATGGAGTGATGAATCCAAATTTAACCTGATCTCATCAGATGAACAGAGAAAAGTTTGGTGAAAACAAGGTGAGGCATGCAAATTGAGTTGCATGAGAAGGACAGTAAAACACGGTGGTGGAAATGTCATGGTGTGGGAATCAGTAATGTGGCGAGGAGCTGGTAAATTGACTTTCATTGAATCAACAATGAACACCAATTCGTATATAGACATTTTAAAGCAAAATTTGAAGCCCTCTGCTCTTAAATTTAGATTCGGAAATAACTTTGTCTTTCAACAAGACAATGATCCAAAACATTCTGCCATAGCAACAAAGAAATGTATTCGAAAGAATTATATTAATGTGATAGAATGGCCTGTTCTGTCCCCTGAACTTAATCAGATTGAGCATTTATGGTACATTCTAGACCGGAAAAATGAAGATCGAGCTTACAGAAGACAAAATGATCTAAAAGCAGCCATAATTGAAGCATGGGAGAAAATAACTCCAAAAGAAACCTAATCTCTAGTGAAATCAAAGCCTCGACGTCTGCAAGCAGTTATTCTGGCAAAGGGTGGCTCTACTAAATATTGAAAAGTAATTTTTTATCTAAATTTGGAAATTTTTCTTTTTTGTGTCTATTTTTTTAGCAAGAAAATATTTGATGAATATAAGTACAGCTTATTTTCTATGTCATATGAACTTATATTTGACTATTTTTGAATACAATGCTTCAATATAATTCTATTTTCAAATAATTGATAGTTTTTCCCTTAAAAACAAAAATTAACTGCCTTTTTTAATCAGTTTATACCAATTTTCAAAAAAAAAAAATTGTGTGTGTGTGTTTATGTGTATGTGTGTGTATATATATATACATATATACATATATATATATATATATATATATATATATATATATATATATATATATATATATATATATATATATATATATATATATATATATATATATATATATGTATGTATTAGGGCGTTTAAAAATTTTTTTTTAATTTTTATGTGCAAGCAATTTTTTCTTATTCTCTAGTGTCTCCTAATTGCAAAATATATGAAAAAAACATTGTCGGACAATTTCAGCAATATATAAAATTCCATTTTTTGTTAAAAACCTTTCTGCACAATCGTTGGCGCAAGTCAAATTTTTAACAAATTATTTGAATAAATCTAATGACTTTTATACTTTTTCCATCCTCTACAGCTCTACTTCACCATTAGGGACTTCTGCAATTTTTAACAAAAGCCAACTTTCCAGATCTACCAGTACCCAAAGCTCAGTGGACTCCGATATGGTTGGTAGCTTCCAATCTTGAACTTGTCAGGAACATCATACTGAACTAATCTATCCAACATCATAATGGCAGCACTGCTCAGTCAAGTACGTCTTTGCATACTAATCTTGGTTCAGCAACCAATGCTGAACCAAGATCGGGATATTTTTCTTTGCAAAAAGCATTTTTGAAAGCAGCAAGATCATTTGAGAGTGATCTTGCTACCAAGTATGACTTTAGAAACCAAGGTGCATACCAGACAGGTGTGAAAAAGGCGGCTGTCATCTTTTTTTCCACTTCACTCATAATCATAGTGATCTTATTGGTTATTCTCAGGAATGTATAAAGCATCAGCCATAAACCTAAAGAGTAAGATTTTGTCACCATTAATATTTATTTATTATATTCTTTTATTTATATGTTATTTATTATACTTACGCTTTTTTTTTTTCCATATACTTTACCTAGCTTCATGGAAAACTCCATGAAGCTAGGTAAAGTATATTGAAAACACAGTCAGAGTACAGAAAGTACTTCTCCCAAATAGAAAATAAAAAGCTTGCATAGTTTCCTGTATTCATTCCTCACTAAACGTTTTTGAGACAATAGTCTTTTTTCCCAACTCCAGAGCTTTCTTAGCAATTTCATAAAAGGGTGACTCAACTTGAAGCTGACTCCAATCAAACCTAACTAGATATATCATCTTTTCAACCTTTTTCTTGAAAAAACACCAATATTTTTGTAGTTTGACATAAAGTATGAGATGTGTATTTCTACCATATGTCTTCTACAGATAAACCATATAAGTGTGGAATATTAAAAATGGAGCTAAAAATAACAACAGCCTCAGAGTGTATTCCAGTATTGGATGCAGTAGTGTCACAGCAAAAAGCAAATATCTACAATGTCATAGTATTCTAGCAGATTCAAAATTGCTTCAGCCTGATCATTACCTTTAGAACTTGGTGTCTGAACAACACATAGCAGTATGTCGTCTGTGTCATCCATATCAGGGGATGTAACACTGATCGCTATTCTTTCTACAGAAACAGTTATTTTTAGATCTTCAATTTGTTTTATCTTTTTTCCATCAAAATGAACACATAGCTTTTTTCCCTTCAGAGTAGTTATAATTTCTTGCCTGAACTTATCTCCTAATATCTCAATTTTCTTGAATATTTTTTTATGGACTGTTATAATCTATCTTCTTGATAGATATTAATCTATCAAGAAGATAGATTAATATCTTCTAGAGTTACACCAGCTTTATTGCAAATAGCAGCTACTTATGAATATTGTGGGCCTACACCTACTCTGTATCGGGCAGAAACTGCAGCAGTACAGTCTATCAGATCTTCAGCATTTATACTCATCATTATCTTAGATTTAGTAGAATGACTGAATCTATTAGGTAATTTTTCAACATCTAAAGAATCTAAACTAAGTTTCAATTCAGAATCAATTCAGATAAATAAAAAGAAGCCTCAAGTTCATTGGATTTTACTGCATTAATTGTGATATTAACTCTTGCTTCCTCCATCCTCTTGAGCCAAATATTTTTATTTTAACTGAAGTTTGTAATACTTCATCCAGTTCTTTTGTAATATACATGTTTAGCTCTCCTTTTTGATCTAAATAAAACTTAATATCCTCCTTTTTAGCATTCTCACAACGAAAACGATCCTGATTTACTTTTTGTTCAAAATTTGCCAATGAAATATCAAAGAGTGTATTACTCTCCTCTAAAAACTCATTCTCTATCTTAGATAAGTTTTTATCGCTAGAGTTCCAATTCAATGATTTGAGATGATGCAGATTTATGTACTTATTATGGAGCTTCAGCATTTTATCTCTGACGTCCACATTTTATCTCTGGGATCCACAGATAATAAAATCTTGAAACCCTGCTTTCTTCCAAGCGTCTATTACAGTGGAGGCAACACATCTTTGCAGATCAGATCCTTGTTCTCATGCTTTTGAGGGCAGGCTACTATCAACTTTGTAGATTGAAATCTTATTGATCTAAAATAAAAATAGACAGGTATTTATCATTATGGTTTTTTTGTTCTTACATAAATTTTTGCTTCATTGTGTCTCAGTTTAAACATTTGGGGAGGGGGGAGATATTAGATTAAATATGCATTGCATAAAATATCCCATTTTTAAATTTTATCATTGTTTTATATTATATTTATATATAAAAAAATAATTATTTTTTCTACCAGGGAGATTTTAGAAACTGGATGTATCTCAGAAGATTTCCGATGGTTGCCAGCTGGTTTATTAAAAGCTCATTAATTGTGTACTTTAGGAGAAACAGCAGCTTGGATTTGTTAACACGCTGTATTTTCTCTTCTCAGCCTTCTTTTTTTGTTGTTTTTTTTAGTATAACCCATTTTATTTAATACTTTTATTATTAGTTAATGCTAAAACAAATTTTTAAGAATTTAATTTTAGTGTCCCCTTAAAAAATTTACATTTAATTATACAATTTTCAAGTAAAATATGAATATTGAAGGTATTCATAACTATTACATAAATATATATGAAAAAACAAGTTTATATTTAACTTCTAATTATTACTATAAGCGGTTAAAATTAAAAGACAAAATCATTGTTAAAACAAAACAATATACAGAAAACACAAAGGTTGTTTAACTAGTCATCATAATCGACCTGCTCTGTGAATCAGGCTCCAATGAACCTTCTGTACTAAATAGGCCTGATGGACTGGTTCTTATATAGTT